TTCAACTTGGATCTGGAGCGTTATAACGTCGCCTCCATTAGACAATTTATATCACACGATTTCATTAAGAATTGACGACGCGACATCGGTTTGAACATATGGCACTATGGCAGCCATTATAGTGTTAGAACTCCCATTTGGAAGAGTTACGAGATGGGAATGACTCCCAGCTCCTACAAACCCCAAGAGCTGAGGTACAGTGATGTGGAACAGTGCCACACTGTCCCCAACCAAGAAGGGTCTCGAAACTACCCTGCAGGGGCTTGTTGTTCTCTAAAGCGGAGGCAACTTTGTAGAAGCGAAAGTTGGGTTGGGTCCAGCTGCAAAGGATCCCGTCGAAGAGAAAGGGCTGTCTGCAGAAAGCTTTTCTGCAGAGGGGCGATATCTTGTCAGACGAACCTCCGTGCAGAGAAGGCAAATATTTTCCCCTTGGGAGAATTTCAGAACATTTTCGGACGTTGAAAAAATGACCCCGTCAGGTTCTGTCACGGCAATTATTCGAGCTTTCTGTACCGAAGCAAAGGGTGTAGGTCAGGCACGCAGGCTCGACTGGGTAAATCAGTCATCTGACTTCCAATCGGAGGTGTGATTGAAGTAGAAGAGGGAAATTGCTCAGGAGGTCCGGTTGATTTCCCCTCAAATACGGTTTCCATTCTGCCATACCAGGGCTTCTGTCGTACGAAGCCCCAAACATGACAGGGATGAGGGCGTGTTACATTTTCGATTTTTCCGGACGGTCCGGACAACTACCACTCTGAAACGTAATGAAACCCACTTGAACAAAGCGTTCTACAAATAGACCACTTTAAACCGTTCTGACGGTCCGGAAAGTTTGGAAAAAAATCCAAAATGTAACACGCCCTAACGCCCCAAAGATGACTCGTACCGCCTCCGAAGCTTTCGTTCGGTTCTGCCTTTCCCCAACCTCGTCACCCAAGGCTAGGATGTGCTCGTGTAGAAAGGCTCGGCTTGATTTGTTGTAGAGGACAAGGCTTCTGAATCACATTCGCTGTTCAATACGGGCGCGTGTGATCTGTCTAGAAGTTCGAAAAAAAAGTGTGAAGTTTGTGTGGTTACCAGTTTTGCCAATTTCGCGGGCTCATATTAGCGAAATGTCCTGCAATATTGGGAACACTAAAATTCGAACTCCATATCTGAACTTAACTCGAGTTGGGTTGAGAACGTGTATAGGCATGTACACACACTCGTACATGATTTGCTGCTCGTTCGAACAGCAGGCAAAACGGGCGAGCGATTTGCGAGTACTTGTAGTGGCACAACGAGGACATCGCACTATTCATGCACTGAGCGGGAGCCACGTGGCCAGAATCGTGGCACGTACACCCCAACCAGGCACCGTTTCCCAGCCGTTTTGACGTAGGCCGAAGAATATCTCGCCACCCCCCGAACTATGACCCCCATACTAAATGTCTTTGACATTTGTATGCGTGCATTGTAGAAGGCATTCAAGAGCGGATGCATCGTGGATCCCTCGCCTCAGCGACGCCGGCGTGCTGCCGTAGATCCCTCCGCTTCCAGACGCCTTGAAGTGATAGATTTGGACTCCATCGTAGCTCGTGTGCCAAACCCGAACACCCCACTAGGCGCAGAGGACGACACCCTCGCCTACTGCGACGCAGGTAAGCTAAACTGCGACATCGACGACGCCGCTGACAACGACACTGACGCGGCGATGTCGACCGACATAAAGGGATGGCAAGCGGAGGAAGTTATGCAGCTGGCATGGATCCGCCATGATTTCGATGAGCAACATCAGAGTCAGGGCCGTCTTCGAGGCCACAACCGGGACGTTATGCTCTACGAGCAAGTGCGCGCTCGTCACCCTGGCTGGCGACACAATCTCGCAGCAGTGAAAGCTAAGGTTTTTCGCACGGAGGCGCAATACCGGAAGGTTGCCGATCTGTTGACCAAACCTTCCGGTAAGGGGAAGCCCTCGAAAATCCCTATTTTTCACTATGTGCTTGACAGGTTCCTTGGTGATATAGCAAATGCGCGCCCACTGGCTCTCGTGGGAAGCTTCCCTGGCGCAACACCGCTCCTCCGCCACCGGCTCGAGCAATACCACGTAAGTCTGGCTCGATATTCAATATGATGCGTTGTGCTTTATGCTTTTTTTTTTTTCAGGCTGCCAATATTACAACCACTCGTCAGAAATAGATGTAGATTTTGTAACAATGAATACCCCGCTCCCCCCTATGCGACGCCCATCACTCCCATATGTGGCGTCTCCTACTTCCGCGTCAGCGGTGTCTGCAGGGGCAGATGGCATCGCGGCGTCTCCAAGTCGTGCGCAGTCGGCCCGTCGCTCACCCACCTCCCGTCGCATGAGTGCGTCGCCTGGTCACTCCCCTTCAAGCCTGCCGTTGTCTTCACCGCCGACTTCGACGCTTGCGCCTGTCGGACTTCCCTCCACTGCCACCGCCACTGCATCCCCATCTCGGTCACGTGTATTTGGGGCGCACCGAGGTGTTGTGCTCCGCGGCGGCGGTGTCTCCTGCCGGCCTGCGCCTGCGCCTGCTGAAGAGGAACAGACGGGCACCGAGACATAGGGCGATGGAGTTAGTAACCATATGAACGAAAATGACTCTGTGCAATGTGCCGAAATAGCGGGGATTATTGCGCAGTCAGTAAAGGGGGCAATGCGGGACCAATTTGATGAATTGTTTGAACGTACCCAAGAGATGGTTGAGAGAGCTCAGGATGCCCGAGCCTCCAAGAGGCATAGAAATACGCCACCAGGCGAGCTCGACTACACGTCGGAGTGAAGCCAGCATCGTGCGGCGAGAAATGAGGCGCGTCGGCAACCGGTCCTTCCAGCCACCATGTATTGCGTGAGCGCGGTTCATTCTGGCGGTGACGAAATCCAAGGCAAAGGTCGACGTTGTGAAGAACGATGCACGCGGAGACGACCTGCGGGGCGCAGAAGACGTCGCACTCGAGGCGCCAGAATGCGTCACTTGGTTTTTAACCTCCCGTTCACTTGCTCGACGACCATTCGAGTGCGAGACTGTGGAAGATTCCAGACCCACTGCTCGTCGGGAAGCGCGCGACCGGGAAGGGTATGGTAGGGGGTGTAGATGTAGGGCCTTAGACCGTATGTCGCGTCAGCTACTAGCATGTAGTCCAGTGTACCTCCTCCTTCGATCTTGATGCGTGCTGGACTGTTTATGAACACCCGAGCGGCATTGACGCTTCCGGGGATGTCAACAAAGAAATCCCAGATTACGCCCATGCTGTCGCTTATTAGCTGGCATATAATAGAAAACAAAACAAAAAACCAAACAACCTGTTCGATTTCTGAAGTCTTCACAATGCGGTCTCATTTCGCGGCAGTGTATGTAGGTGCCATCCATGGCGCCCACCATGCCAGGTATTCCTGCTTGTGTGAGAAACTTGGCCTCGAACACCTGCAGCATATCCAAGTCTGGCCAAATGACCCATTTGGGCAGGAGGACTTCGTTAACGAACCAGACGAACCTCGTAAAATGCTTCTGAGCGTGGGAGTGGGAGTAACCAAAGTGAAGGCCGATTTCTCGAAACGTGAGCCCATGCCCAAGCCTGCTAAGACCCATGGCGACGAACACAAAGTTATGCACCGAATGCCTAAGTGTTGCAAATCGGTTGCGCTGATACTAGCGCACTAAGTAAACGAAAACGTGTTTTTCAACTCGCAAGTACTCATAAAAAATTGGGTTCGGGCAGGGATGTTATCAAACGAAACCACCGTGCATGTGCGTCAATGCGGTCACACGAACACTCGAGTCTGCCTTAGAGTGAAGCCGCGACAAGAGAGGGGAGTACCGAGCCAACATCGTTGAGTACGGGAAGCATGCCATCTGCATGTACCCCTGCCACACGATGCCCAGAAATCTGACAAGCTGGAGGATTGGTGGGGAATGACGGGTGTACCAGGTTGCCACGGAGGCTATTTGTACCCCGGTTACGCACGAGGAGTGAAGATGAGTTGGAACTCTAGGACATTGTACACCGAGGCGCATGACGTTGACGTGGCGCTCTGTCAAGACGGCTGAACCGGGTAACCTTTATTGAAAAAGTGCGGCTCGGCGCGTTTTTACAAGTTCGAATGTGCGCGTTCGACCTTGTATGTGTGAGTGCTTTTTTGCTGTGTTGTAGTCTAGATGTTCGAACCTCGATACAAGGAGTTTCGCACAATTTGCCCTAAAAACATGAAGTTCTAATAATTTCAAACACCACACACGCCCTAATGATCACAGCTTCCAATCCAAACCCTAATTTCCTAGTACTATTTGGCTAGCTCGTTTTCACGAGCAGGCCTGTCGAAGTAAGGGCAAATGCCCTTAATGCCCTGAACATTAAGGGCTACTTTCGGCTACCCTAGTCCAAAAAAAGTTTTGGTTTCGAATATCACCCGTGTGAGTTTAGGGTTTCAATCGGCCCTTTCCCGCATTCGTTAAGTCCCCGATTGGGCCCTACCCCTGAATCCAAGTATTCGTTTCGGTTCGAACGACCCCCCCCCCCCCCACTACCTGTTCCGTCCCCCCCCCCCCCCCCCCCCCCCCCGTCCCCCCCCCCCCCCCCCCCCCCCCCCCAGCAAGGACGATAACTTCATCGTCATTCTGCCAATCGGCTATCTCTCTATTGGGTTAGTCAGCTTAGAGCGGCCGCTTCTCACCTTGGCAGCCAATCAAACTAGGCTCACACGTCACATATGTGACAACATCACTTGGTGGTGGCTGCTGTGAGTGAGCAAAGGGCTGCCTACTCCACTCCAACACAGCAGCAGCTTGAACAGCAATTCCAAGCAGAACCAACAGCCAAACAGGTCACTCACCTCACCCTATCCTACTCATCTGTTTCATCCTCCTCCTCCTGTCGTGCTCATCCTGTCCATCCAGCCAGCCGAGCAAAGCTGACACACACAGCCATGGGTGTCGCTCACTCGCTGTGCTTATTTAAGCAACCTGTTTGTCCCCTCCCTCAACCAGCCTTCTCGAGCCATGGAGCCTAGTGACGCCGATCCTCCCGGTGCTGTTTTCCAGAACGAACCGCTGCTTTGCCCAGAAATTAGCTCCCATACGGACACCGAGCTTGTCAGCCTGCCCTCCGATGACGAGAACAAGTCTGAGGCGGACGACACAGACGATGATAATATGCAGGACGTTGCCATCGCCGTCTCGCACACCCGTCTCACCCAAAAGAGCGGGTCGTCCGGACCGTGCAGACCTCATGGCCGCTTTCGTCAGGCGGTCCTGAACTTCGCAGAACCTCCATCGCTCCCGAAGAAACGCCCACGGTGCCAACAACCCGCGCCAACAAAAGAGGATCTCGAGAAGCTTGACAAGGAGATCGAGGCAGTCGCGGAGGTGCCCAAAGACACCAAGATCCCGGAAGCTGAACGCGCTCTAGCACGTCGATACACTCCGGGGTGGAAGCAAACGTACTCGTGGCTCTCCTTGAAGTACAACCCAGTTCAGCGGTAGTACGGTATGAAGTGCTCGGTCTGTTCAACATTCGCTCCTCACACGAAATCCCCTTTTGGTCGTTGTGGCGTTGGTGCTCGGGATTTCCAGAAGTCGGCGTGCAAGAACCACGACGCATCCAAGGTGCATCTCCAGGCCATGGAAGCCGAGCGCCTTTCCCAAGGGACCGAGGTGAGGCAACGAAGCCTCATGGACATGCTGAGCAAGTATCCAATGATGGCTAGGGTCATCAAGTGCATGCAGGCGGCCCAGTGGTGTGCACGGTTCGATGCGCCGATTGCTCTCTACCCGCCTATGGTGCGCTTCATGGCGGAGCAAGGCTGCCCCGACATGGTCAATGACGAAGCATACGGACGCTACTATTCAAAGTACTATAGGTGCCATTGATTTTGTACTCTTGAATACGTCATGCTATGTTTGTTTGCAGCCGATTCTTGCTTGTTCTTTTCTTCCTCACTGTCAACTACAATGCGTGGCAGGTACGCGTTTGGCGAGTTCATCGAGGCCCTCGCGCAACACTTGACGGACCGGCAGCTGCAGGACGCCAAGGCATCCGCGTGGTATGTACTCTCTTTTGACGAGTCCATTGATCGCGCGCGAGGCAAACATCTGATCATGTACATTACATTCGAGAGAACCGAGGAGGTCGTCACACAGTTTTTCGGGCATCTCACACTCGACCGCTGTAATGCCGTCTCGATTTATGAGGCGATCCTCGCCTTCCTTCACCGGAAGGACATGTCCCTTGACATGCTCGTTGGCGTGGCCACGGACGGGGCATCCGTGATGACCGGGTCAAAGGGAGGAGTTGTGGCTCTTCTCAGGAAGAGGTGCCCTTGGCTGGTGGCGGTCCACTGCGTGGCGCATCGGTAAGTTTGTCACGCACTCTGAAAATGTCTTGTTTTTATCTACCTCGCCTATATCTAACTAACACTTCTTTACCAATGCAGGGAAGCATTGGCCGCCCAAGGATGCAGCGGTAAGCTTCCCTGAGTTCAATATCGTTGACCAGGTCATTCGCCAGACTGCGGAGCGACTTGGCCGTTCATATGTCGACCACTCCAGCTACATGCACCTGCAGGAGATCATTTTGAAGACTCAGTTGGAGGTGCAAGGCATCTTCGCCATGCGCTGGTTGTCTCGGGGGGATGCCGTGCAGCGCTTCTGTGATGTGCTGCCGGCGTTGCTGAGCATGTGGCAGAGGGAGAGCCATGCGACTTTGAAGGTTGCAACCAGCTTCAAGTTTCAGTTCATGTTGTTCTTTCTGGCGGACATATTGCTCCTGCTGAACGGCCTCAACCTTGCTTTTTAGAAGAGCAAGGTAAGCTATTGCAAATCTGGTTATGTTGAACCACACGTTGCAAATCTGGTTATGTTGCACCACACGTTGCAACTCTGGTTTTGGTGCACCACACGTTGCCAATCTGGTTTTGTTGCACCACAAGTTGCAAATCTGGTTTTGTTGCACCGCATGTAACTGAAGAGTTGTTTTGGTTTTGTGCTTTTCCAGGTGGACATTACCGAGGTCAAAAACCATGTCGACAAGGTCAAAACGAAGCTTTCGCAGCGCTACATCGAGCCCAATGCGTCGTTTGGGCCGAAGAACTCCCGCCTCGCTGCCTTCCTGGCCAAGCATGGCAGCACGAACAAGCGCGAGCTCGTCATCCAAGGAGTGGATGACAACGGCAGCCCTATCCGCTCCACGATCGAGCTTCATGAGGAGAGCATTGGCCCTGGCGGGTCGGACTTGGATGCTTGCTATGCTCTTGGCAAGCATTTTGCAGATCGCTTGATCAAGGCCCTTGAGAAGCGCATGGGTGACCTGCGCCACTTCGATGGTGTCCTGTTTTTCCAGCCCCATGAGTACCCCAAGCGTGCAGGTGAACAGGAGGCGTGGCTGAAGTTTCATCTCGCTGAGCTCCAGGACATGTTCCAGAACCAGCTCCCAGGTATTGTGTGTTGGGTGCAAATGCACATTGCACGACATCCTGCCGTCTGTTTGTACGAGTATGCGTGTGCGAATGCATTTGCGTGTGAATGGTGTGTTCGTGTGTTTGTTTGCTTTCGCATTTTTCGCTTGATGCATTTGCAGGTACTCGCGCAATGTGCGCTTCGGCACAACATTGTACGCGCTATGAACAGTGCAAGCAGAAAGGACGAGCTCGCAAAGGAACCCAAGATGGAAGCTTTGCAGTTCGGTTGAGTTGATTGCGCAGATTCAGTTCTATCCAACTCGAAATTGTACTGTTTTGCTTGGTTAACTATAGTGTAGCAGGGAAGGCACTATAGGGGTACAATTTAGGTGAAGGTTGGATGTTGTTTGTCTGTATCTGCATGCTACAAGGCCAGGGGAAACCAGCGGAACCAGCATTTGGCTGGTTGGGCAAAGACAAAACAGGTTCTGTTTTTAGAACCTGAACCTGGTTGTTGTTTTCCCAGGTTGGAAAAACAGAACCAGAGGTTGTTTACCAACCTACCACCTGCTATTTTGTCCAGCCAGGTTGGTTCTGTTGCTTGGAATTATTTGGGATCATCCCTGGTTGTTCCCAGGTTGATTCCCAAGGTCCTTGCTAGCTAGAACTATTTAATCCTTCTCTGTTTGTACCTGAATATAGTCAAATTGATTCAAGCGAATTCCTTCCTCGCTGGAATTTCGTTTCTGCGCTATTCGACGGCGGAATGCTACCCGAGTCAACACTAGTATGCTAGCACTCCAACGCTAGGCAAACGCTGTCCGAGCCAGAACTTAGTAATGGCAGAACTTTTCGCGAGGCAACTTGGCTCATTTTAAAGCTCTTGGAGCGAGCTTCGATATAGCGAATTCTCAGCTTAATCCGACCGACGGTCTGCACGGCACGCTGCGCGACGTTCAAGGTACTCTTGCTGTTTTGACTAAGTCCTTCTTGATCCCTCTCTCTACAAACTCGGACCCGAGGATAGGGGCTGGTCTTGTACCAGGCACCCAGGGACCCTTGGAGGTGACCCCGAGGAGAGGTTTTAAGTTTGATTAAGTCCTAATAGCTTGAGTTTATTAGGCCCTTACACCAACAAGCTGGTATCAGAGCTGCGTTATAGTGATCCTCGTTATAGGTAGCTATGGCGGGCAACACCTCGGCGGGAGCTGGTGAATCTTCAGCCCAAGATCGTAGCGGCAGCCAAGATTCTGGTCTTTCAGCGCCAAGGGGAGCGCGAACAAACCAGGGCTCGCTTGTCAAGGAGGTGCTGAAGAATTTCACCGTCGAGAAGTTCAATGGTGAGGGCTATGATGATTGGGCCTGGAAAATGCAATTATATTTCCGTCAGATCGGTTTGCTGAAACTAATGATTGGGGAGGAGCCTAGACCGAGTGACCCCATGCTGCAGGAAGATTGGGACGAGCGCTCCTCGGCTGGCTACTATTTGATGTCGCAGAGTTTGGAGCTGAACCAGCGTCACCACGTCATGCACCTGCTGCCGGAGGTTGAATGCGGTCCGAAGGCGTGGACCGTGTTGAAGGAGCTGCACGCCCCGACCTCCGTTGTCGCAACGTTGATGCTGGAGAGGGAGCTGTCCGCGTTGCGCCTGAGCGAGGGAGAGCCGGTGCAACCAGTCCTGGACAAGATGCGCGACCTCTACGCGAAGTTGGCGACCGCGGGAATCACCTACCCGGAGCAGACCAAGTGCTTGAAGATGCTCTCGCTGCTGCCGGAATCGTGGCTTCAATTTACGAGCGGATTGAGCCTGCCGCAGAACCAGAGCTTGTGGACGCTCGAGTGGGTGCGGACGAAGATTCTGGAGGAGGACTTCCGTCGCCGCCAACTGAGGGGTGGAGACGACGGCAGCAGCAGCTACGGGATGCAAGGGAGCCGACGTGGCAGAGGACGTGGCTTCGGTGGTGCTGGACGCGGTGCAAAGAAAGACGACGACTCCAACGACCAACAAGGAGGTACCGGTTGGGGTCGCGGTGCGAAATCTGGACGTGGGGGCAAGTCGGGTGCTGGTGGCAAAATGAAAGGGAGTTGCTGGTATTGTGAGAAGGAAGGGCACCCCTGGTTTTTGTGCTATAAGAAACCCGATGGATGGACCCCCCAGAATCGTCACCAGGATGGCGGCGCGCGGAGGAACCAGAAAAACGGCGCCAACATGGTCGCTGATTCGTCCGACAACAACCCGAAGGGCAACGGCGGTGCGGAGAAGAAGAAGGAGCGCACCGCGGGCCAATTCTTCCATGTGGGAGACAAGGGGGAGCAAGGAGACGCCTCTGCCAAAGTTGGAGCAGAGCTGCACCCCCTAGACTATTGGGTGTTGGACACAGGCGCTGCTTGGACGATGACGCCGCGCAAGGACCTGCTGGACGAAGTACGAGCTGCACCGATCAATGAAGTGTGCTCCGCCTCTGGACACATGTTGAAGGTGGCTGGTGCGGGACGAGCTGCGTTTAAGGGAGCGGATGGCAAGCCGGTGGTGCTGCACGACGTTCTCTTCGTCCCCGACCTGAAGGCCAACCTTATCTCCCTCCGTAAGCTTGGCAAGGCTGGGGTGAACACCAACACGGATGGGGCACGCACTTATAAGGGGAAGCTGGGCAATCGGGTGCTTTGGGATCTGCACGAGAGCAAGGACGTGTACAGATCTATGTGGCAGCTGCCGGCCCTGGCGTGGCATGGTGGGGGGCAGGCTGGAGAGGGGTCTGCATCCCAGGGGGAGTGCAATGCCGTTGGAGGGGTTGGTGTGAAAGTGTCGGCCAGATCTGGGGAGACAGATTGGGCAACGGCACACCGGCGCTTAGGGCATGTGGCAATGCCTTTGCTGAAGCAGCTGGAGAAGGATGGAGCCGTTAAGGGTCTGAAGCTGAACGGACAGCCACCCGATGACAACTGTGAAATCTGTTTGCTTTCAAAGTTCACCCGTTTCCCTTTCCATAGTGTGGCTGGCAGGAGCAAGAAGCCTTTGGAGCTGGTCCACATGGACTTGGTGGGGCCGCTGCCGGTGCAAGGGCACAAGGGGGAGCGGTATTTTCTTACAATTGTGGATGACTGGAGCAGGCTGATGTGGGCGTATCCGCTGAAGCAGAAGGACCACGCCGCCTCCACGATACGGGACGATTGGCTGCCATTCGTGGAGAAGCAGGCGGAGTGTGTAGTGAAGCGGATTAGGACAGACCGGGGTGGTGAGTTCCTTGGAGCTGAAATGACGGCCTGGCTCAAGAAGCAGGGCATCCAGAGAGAGCTGACCACGGCTTATACCCCACAGTCCAATGGTGTAGCAGAACGGGCAAACCGGACCATTCTGGAGACAGCTAGGGCGCTGCTCATAGAATCTGGGCTGAGCAATTCTATGTGGCCTCATGCTGTCCGGCACGCCACTGTCGCTAGGAACAGGGTGCTCACCAAGGTTGGGGATGACTCGTGGGTGCCGTTGGAGAGGTGGCTTGGGAGGAAGCCGCCGGTGGACATGCTGAGGGTGTTCGGTTGCATGGCAGTCGCCCACGTCCCCAAGACCTACCGCAGTAAGTTGGGGGCGAGTGCAATCTGGTGTGTGCATTTGGGGCTGGCTGCTGAGAGCAAGGGATGGCTGCTGTGGGAACCATCCAAGGGTGTGTTGTTTGACAGCAGGGATGTGAAATTCATTGAGGGCATGATGTATGGGAGCTGGGAGAAACAGCCGGAGGCAAGGGTGTCCCAGCAGATGGAGCAGATCACCATGCAGCTGGACCTGACTCCTAGTGTGTGGGAGGAGGGAGAGGAGGCAGCTGCTGGAAATGGTGATGGAGAGAAGGTACAGGAGGCATCTGCTGGTGGAGAAAATGGTGTGGAAACTGGCGGCAGCACTAGTGGAGCTGCTGGACCCGAGGGAGGAGAGAAGCAGCAGGGAAAAACTAAGAAGCCGAAGGG